AGGCAGAAACAATAGCGCTTCGCGCTGGTGGTGCTCTCTGGGCTCCGGTCTCCCCTCGAGATTGTACCCGTACGAGTGCATCCCCCGCGTGAAGCAGCTCGAGGCCCTGGTCGTGCGCGCGTGCCAGTCCGCCCCCCCGCGAGTCCCGGGCGTGGTTTGCGGACGCGTCTTCAGCAGGTCACGTGACCGCGTTGCGTGGAGTATCGTATGTCAGCCTGTCAAGCACCCGATGGTATGGACCGCTTCCGATTCCAGATCCGTAGTGTGAAAGCATGAACCCAATTCGGTCAAAGCAGCACGCAACCGGATCCAAGAATGTTACCAAGAGAAAGATGTATTGTTGTAACCCTGATTTATGATAGGCATGCATGCGACAGATGGGATGATCGCGGTGAGTATCATGTATTCGTATGCAATGAACCTCTTCTCAAGGACAGAAAGTGATGGTGTAGTCGGCCGCACTGGAGCCAGGGCAGGTCCAGAGAGCGGTGCCGGACGGCTCGTCGTACGCGTAGACGTATGAGTCGGGGCATGCAGACTTGAAGTAATCGTAGTCTGGAACGCCGCTTGTGGGGCACGTGTCTGGGCCGGATGCGTAAGTGCCCGCGCAGCATGCGGCAGGGTCGCCAGTTGCGAGGCAGTCACTCTTGCACCCGACGATGGTGCCAGAGGCGTCCTTGAGCTGAAGGTTCGCTGGGCCTTTTCGTGCGTCAGCCTGCGTGTTATGGGCACACTCGTACGGATGGGATACGTACAGTTGGGGTCCAAGTCGACAGTGCAGCTGGCAGTAGGGCAGCCGGCGGTCACCGTGACCTCGACCGGAATGTTGAAGCCATCAACGAGGGAGACGTCGTAGTTGCTGACGGTTTATAAGTATTGAGCTTGCGGGTAATTCGCGAACCAAGTAGTTACTCAGCGCCATCTGGTACGAGAGTGAATTCCGCGACGGTCGCAGGGGGCACGCCCGTTCCTGAAGCCGTGTCACACTCGAGGCCACCATTGCAACCACCAGTAGCGCAGCTCGTCGGACCAGGATTGGTCGAGAAGTCGCATTCGGTACGAGGCCAGATCCTGCCCGCGGCCCAGTTATCGGGTACTGAGAAGGAAGTCGTCGCGCCCGCCGCCATCTCCCAGCCGGTGGCTTGCGCAGGAACAGCGGTACCACGGCTCAAGTCAGTGAAGAGACCGGGCCTGCGAGATAGTCAGCGCCATATCCAGCGACCATCGAGAAGAGTCTGACCAGACAGTGTAGGAGCACTTGTTGTTGACGGTGAAGGTGCGGTCGGCAGAGACAGCGGTGGCCAGAGCCACGAACGATACCAACGATGCAGCAGACTTCATGATGGATCGTGTCGATTGAGATGGAGAGCGGTGGATACGTGAAGCAGATAGATTCCTAGAGATGGCGAGCACCATTTGATGCCATTGTCTTTATACCGAGACGGGCTCGGGCGATGTAACATGCTTCATTCACGCAGACCTAGAGAACACGGCGATCAGCATAGCACCGAGTGCAGCATACGCTCGTTAGCCAGATCTTCGTCCGCCTAAAACGATCCAATAGCCGTCTAGCCATCTGGCATGACCATTGAGTTGTCAGCAAACATAGTCAATAAGTACGAAATGCATGAGGTGGACGCGAGAGAAGCACCCTATCATGTGCTACAATTGCGAGAGAAGATGATCGGACAAGTTAGCCCGTTCGGTCAGAGTCTGCAACCACTACAGTAGATGCGACCAGCCCGGTCAGATGTAGAGCGAGAGACCATGCAGCCATCTGAACCGCAGCGAAAGCACATTGCGGATACGGGCGACCCACCTTGACCAGCACGGCCTCAGTGATTGAAAAGTCGGGCTGCGGCCGAGGCTAAGCCGCGCGCCATCGGCTTCCGAGGAAGAGGGTGTGCCGAGCTGAACTCTATGATTGAATGCGCGTGTATCATCAAGCCAGGCTGGATGTGTTCGAGACAAAGGTGCACGTTGTGGACAAGTACGGTGCTGCCGGAACAACCGGCGCGCGGTGCGGCGCAGATGCGGTGGGAACTTGCGTCAGAGCGCGTCGTGCCACTCACCATGTTAGCGGCGCGCGCGCCCGGTCCCTGACGTGGAACATCTTCTAGAGAAAAGAGAAAAGAAAAAGTGATCTAATGCAATAAGTACGCGCTCGTTTGCTGGAACACGCGTTTGCGGATCGGTGGTTGAACAAACCTGAAGACAGTCGCGGAATCTACCCAATCATGCACGCGGCCTTGCGGACTCGCTCGTCGGTAGAGATTTTATCGTAATATCGAGTACGAAGTGTAACAGAACAGCATAGACAGACGTAGAGGAGCACGCAGACAATATCCGACTGGTAATAGTTACAGGATCCCGGGAAGTGAGAATCATAGTATCTGTGCCAAATTAACTCGTGCGATGTACCCGATCTCGATGCTGTTGAGATCGCCGTTTACCGACCGGGTGCCAAGGGTCACGGACTGGAAAAATGCTATCTACAGAAAAATGCGGGTATAATGAGCAAGCGTTCGAATTCGCCAGCACAGGTATGAGCTCACCGAGTGAGATAACATTGCCACGCTATCTCTGGAATGCGTAAGAAGGGGACTTGGCCAATACACACGCGCGCACAGAAGCGTCGGCCGCCGCGAGTATTAGAACCAGCGCCGGCCTTATTGAGCCGTACATTTGATCAGAACGGCTGTCGGAAATGGGCAAACCCTTTCACCGCGAAACACCGGACAAGGCTGAAGGCAGCTGAGGTTCGGCTCATGGATTGTCGAGACTGGCATGCAGGAGGCATACCCTAATCGGACATCATCAGACTACGCGCAGGAAACAGAAGAAATCAATCACTACATGCTTCGTTACGTAGAACACAGCAGCGCATTAGGCGTGGTGGATATCGTGTGGGGCACCAAACAGATCAGGACGAGCAGCATGGTAGCACAGCGCGGGACTGGAGACTAACAGTGAAAGTCAAGCAAGATAGGGATGACATGAAAGGGGACGGTGACATAGAAAACGATAACAAGGAATCCTATGTTGAAGGGCTATGCTGGACACAAGGGAAATGGGATTGACGGCACGCCGACCGCGGTTAACTCACGGTCGCCATTTGGCCGACAGATGTATGGCGAACTATATAGACAATATCAGTGAGTACACGAAATAAAGTGGAGCGGAAATCGCAGGCAGCTCACCGATTACCCATCAAGAACAAGTCGTGGCCCAACATCGTAGTAGATCAGCTGGGCGATGACCAGCACCGCGTCCCGATGCATGCGAGCGCGAAAAATCTCGCCCGCGGTAGCCAATTTGACGCCATGCTCGTTCTTGCGGCTCCTCATATCATTCAGGTAACCGAGTATGATTCCCCCACATCATGTCAATCCTATTCATCGCCGGCCAACCGAGGCTGCTGCCCGAGTGCTTCATGAGAGTGCCTAGAAATACCTGTAACCTCGTCCGAAACGCGATTTGAACATCGCATGTCAGTTCGTAGCCGGTCACAGTCTTGATGGAGTCGACAACGTTGTCCGACTCTGAATCCAAACGAGGGAGGCTGACGGGTTGCAGTTGTGTATGTAGCCTAGGGTGCCCCGGCACAGGCAAGAGGAGCCCAATACGAGGTAGTAGTTGCACCTTCGCGCCAATACTGGGGACAGAGCCGGAGGCGATGGGATGGCGAGGAAACAGAGCGGGAGTGCTGAGAAGATGGGAGGAGGAGAAAGTAAACGCTCGATTGTTGATGATATAGCCGCGTGTGGGAGAGAACCGTCCGCGTCAGGTCCGAGATCCGAGATGCCACGACGCGACTTTTCCGCTTCCGCATGTTCTTCCCCTACGAACGACTCAGCCTCGTATGAAGATCCTTCCTTGGGCTGTGCGTGGGACAGCTGTAAAGACCGTAAAGACCGAGTTCAGGCTGAGGGCGAGCAAGCCATCCAATGAGAAGGCGTGAGAGACCGTGTGTGAATTTCTGGAGGGGGGGTGCCCTACCACCTCAACCCTTTCTTACTCACTTATGTTCGTTACGTCAGGGAAACGCCCATCACCATGGCGGATCCATCGAAGGAGAACGCGAGGTACATACAGTGTCACTTTGCAGCGCTGAAAGATATGGCTAACAACAGACATACAGGAACTTCTCGCATCCTCTGGCCGACTCTCCCTCCTCGGCAACGCAGCTACACCCCAGCTCAGGGTCTATCTCCGCGCGCCTGAATGCGCTCGATGCCGAGCGTTCCGTTCTTAAAGCGACCGCTCGTAGAGCGCGAAATCTTCGCAACGCCCAGTCCGTGACCTTCCGCCTTCCGGCTGAGATCCTAGCCTCTGTATTCGACGCCCTGTGGGATGTTTGGCCACCCTCCCGCTACTTCAAGCTTGGATCCGACATACTCCATTACGATTTGGGCTGGATGAAGGCCACCCATGTTTGTCAGTTGTGGCGGCATGTGAGCTCTACGTCGGATCATAAGGGGAAGGCTAGCTCATCATCTTTATAGGTGGCCGTAGGAACTCGCAATCTCTGGGCAGCGCATCGCAACGTACTGGACATGCCGACGCAGTTTCTCCCCGTTGTGCTCCTTCGCGCCGGAAACCTTCCTCTGGATATTTGTATTGATCTCGAGGAAAGTGAGATTCCCTGTACTCCACAACCGGTGACGCTGTCTTTGAGCGATATGTCAGGGAACAAACAACCACCTGAAGAACTTTGGAGAGATGACAGTGATGTTCATAGGCGCGCGGAGGTCTGGCTATGTCAGTCCCTATGCTTGCGCACCGGACAGCTATCCATCAACGGCATCACACGCAGTCTCATGCGGCTGCTCGAGAAGAATGCCACCCTCCTCAAACGCCTTCGGGGTTTGCACCTCCAGCCGCCCACCGACGTCACCGACCTCGTGCTTCCAGATAACCTCGCGCGCCTGCCTTTGTTGACGGAGCTAGCCCTCAACGACATACCCGTGTCTTGGCGCTACATTCGCGACCTGACATATATTGAATATACCTTCGATGAATCATTCGAATCCGACCAAAACTTTGACATACACTTCCAAACTCTCCTCGATCGCTTACCGTCGCTACACACTCTGATACTAGGCGATATCACTCCAAAAGACCTTCCTCCGGAACATCAGGAGATAACTGCACCGCCAAGTCTTCGTCTTTTCAAGATCTTTCTATACATCTGGGACGATTATCCCGAGAAGGACAAAAGCATGCAGGCCTTGCGGTTCTTGGCCACATTTCATTTGCCGCCGTCGTGCTCTCGCTTCGCTACAATCATGGGTAATATCGATACGACAACCGCACAGGCAACACCATACGTCGCGCGCTGCATAGAGTCTTTCTTCTCGTTCGGTCTCACAGCAAACCGCGAGGCAGCCCTTTCACCAGACTCTTTTACAGTTGTCGAAAGCGAGCCACCAATTCGTCCGCTAATCATCGGTAGCCATCCTGCTTGGAGCAGTGAGCTGTCAGGTTGGGGGATAGAAGAGCCTCTACGACTCCCTCCTGGCACTGAGAGGTCCCATCTTTCCATCGACGGCCTTCGACTATGGGATTATACCTCGTGTTTCAGCAGCCAGGACCTGCGCGCTGTCACGTTCACAAGCGACTTTTGCCATATGATGGGCCAGAAGGATCGGTGGGCCAAACTTGGTGCAGGTATACCGCAGGTCCGTCGGGTTGGCATATTCTTTGACGACTGCGAACCGTTCCTACGTTCTTTCACCGAGAGCGACGGCGATGGAGGATTCACTACGTGGCCGTTACTTGAAGTCATCGTTCTGCACGACTCAGAGTGTTGTGCACCCGAGAGTGAAATGATACCGCAATTAAACGCTCTCACAAACGCCGTGCGTTTGAGGAAGGATGCGGGTGCGCCGTTGAAGGAGTTATTCATCTCGGAGGACTTCGAGGAGTGGGGGATCTGGGCCGCATTGAAGGCGGAGGTGAAGGTCACTGTTTTGAGAGACGAGTAGCACACATATCTTTTCTCACACCATATACTGTGGTACTGCACAACATCGTACCGTGATTGCACACTTGCGCCAATACAGAACTCGTGTAAGCGTCGACAGCAATCCACGCCCGCCCAGACGCGCCCAGCCGTGACCCCCTACGAGAATCGACCGTCTGAATCCCGCGGAATGGCGGCGAGATCCAACTAAACGAGGCGAGAACGGCCAAATGCCGTCAAACNAATCCTGCCGACTCCCGACTAATGTAGTCGAATAATTCTGCACGTAGCAGCGCGCCCGGGCGTCCGAAACACGTCAAATAATGGCGAATTCTGCCACTACTACTCCGAATCTTCAGAATAAACAAGATTCTATTTACTGGCACCATACGCCGGTACATAACAAACTAGACTAATCGTAAAGGTGCACGACGGCACGTAAATGAGTGTCTGTCTCCCCGTACTCGCTACAACGCATCCCCATCCGCATCACCACCCACTCCCTCGCCGGTCTGCCAGCTTCGCCAGAATCGCAGCTTTCTCCGAGTCCTGGTATTTCTGAGGAAAAATGTCAAGATGTACACTTATCACAAACATAAAATATATTCACCTTGTAGACACCGTTGGGCCCATTGTCCCTCCGATGGACTTGCCGGGATTTCTTGTTGCCCGTCCATGTGGTAGCATCGCACCAGAGATCGCTGTCAAGAGTCAGAACAGGGTCCGAAGGGATACGATGACAACACATACTATGCGATCTTCACACCAACGGACTTCGCCCTCACCTGAGACACGCGAGCTTTCCCGTGCGAGCTGGCTTCCGGCGCAGATGTCGTCTTCGCGGTGCTTGCAGCCTGGGCAGCCTTTACCGCATCGTCGTGCGATATGGTTGTCGTAGTCGGTGGTGCGGGGCCAGCCGTCTGCGCACTGTAACAATATGTTCAGATGCATTGGTGACAAGGAGGCGGCGAGTTCTGTAAAGCTACGAGTTAAGCTGAACATCTACGTCAGGAGTGACGAGAAGCACGTACGTGGATACTGCCAGGTGGCGATGTCCAAATTGCGCAATAGCTGGCAGGACAGCAGCGACATTGGTGGGCACAGTCACGTTGCCGACGGGGTGGCCAGTACGCGCAACAAAAATTCGCTCACCAGCACCTCCCGGCCGAATTACGGCTGGCTGGGTCGGAAGCTGGGCACCATCGGCGCCTTTGAAGGGTGGTCTCATCACGATACCATTCGAGAGAGGCGCGAATGGGCCGGCTGTGCTGTCCGGAACCTGCACTTCGGGCGAAGACGACGGTGCACGACTGGATGCACGGCTCGAGGGGCCTGGGCACTGTCAGCCGTACATATACAAGCCATAAATAGTTGCACGAACCGGCTGCAGGCATAGATAGTGAGGCATAGGTGGAGTGAGCTAGGAGAGCTTCGAACGCGAGTCGGTGACGGTGGTGGTGGAAGACAAGAGAACATCGGATGGACTCGGGAAAACAGCCGACGCGTGCACGTGATCGCGTTGTGCCCCAAACTTTTCGCCGCGCGAAATCAATACGCGCCATTTGTTGTTGCAACCGAGGAATTGTTGGTGGAAGAGAGCTGGCAACCCAGGATGGTCGGCAACACAGAATGAGCAGCCGCACGGTCTTCTCTGGCGGTTGGCGTGCATATTGTGCAGATGGCGGGGAAGGACGAGGAGAGCGACGCGCGGCGGCAGCGGAACTTCGGTTCCGGGCACAGTGGGGAAAACCCCTATCGCGCGTTGGCGCGNGCAGATGGCGGGGAAGGACGAGGAGAGCGACGCGCGGCGGCAGCGGAACTTCGGTTCCGGGCACAGTGGGGAAAACCCCTATCGCGCGTTGGCGCGCGCAACGAAGGCGCGTTTACACGGCTCGACGCGCAACCGCCATGCCTGCCCTATGCGTGCACTACGCGTCCCGGCCCTCCCTACCTCCGACATCCCTGTGCTCTGGGGAAGCTCTCTGCAAAGTGCTGGCAGCTGGAGCAAGAAGCCCATACAGGACTGTATATCCACGCCATAACGAACTACGTACATCGCGCATGCTCTGCGTCTGTCGTCGCCCTCGCCAGTCACGACTACTCGGGCTCCTCTCGAAGCTCAAGCTGTCACGATCCGTATCGTCATCTGCTTCGCATTTCTCGTGATTTGCTATAATATCGAGTTCCCATCGTTCATGGTCCTGACCATCGCCCTCCTCAACGACGGAACCGTCATTATGCTCTTGCTCGACACTTTTGCCCTCGAACACTTCCGACTTCTGGGCCTTACTGAGACCTTCGCTTACGCCTCGTGTACTGTCTCCACCTCACCCTGCCGATGTAAGCACTTTTTGTTCGTTTGTCACGATCTTCACGCTGAGACTTGGTTCAGCATCTTCTTTGTCATCTTCAGCAAGAAGTCAGTTGTCGTGCTTATTACGCCCTTTCTTATCGACTCGAGCGACAGGCAGTTGCACTCGATCATCTACTTCCAGGCCGCTATTGTCTCGCAGGCACCCGTTCCCACGGCTTCTTCATGGAGCACCCGTCGTACGCTCTCGTGTGCGCGTTCTGCTTGGCCCAGTTCGTCTGGGCGATCATTGCCGTCTACGCCGACTGGGGCTCCACCGACATTGAGGGGTTTCCGGTGGCCGT